TATTTAAATCTTACATTTTTTTTTATAAATGAAGAAAAAAAGATACAGCAAAAAGATAAAATATTACAAAAAGAAGAGTCTAGCCAAGCAGGTAGGCCTGTCAATGATACTTGAAACTTCACAACTCGATTCAATTATCACATATTTGGATGAGGTGTTTATGTAATCAGATTTGTATTTTGCAATTTGCATCCAATTAATAATAAAAAACAAAAAATATACAAACAAAAAAATAAAAAATACATAAAGTTTATAGAAAATCTTGGATACATTGTTACTATCATTATCATTGTCTAGAATTGYCACGTGCWWWGCACGTGCACACTTAATAGTTTATTAAAAGGAAYGGTTAATTGATTACCATACTCATTGTGTATATTGATGACMAAATGATGTATGGAAATGAAACAAATGATCTTGCTTGAGTAGTTTTTAGACTTAAAATTTGAGATTAAGAATCTTGGTGGGTTGAGGTACCTTTTTGGCATTGAGGCAGCTAAATCTAAGAGGAAGTATGTGCTATCAAGGGAAGCTTATAGAGGATCATGCCATGTATCAGAGGCTGGTTGGAGACTCCTCTAACTATGCATTACTCAACCAAATATATCCTGTACTATTCTCTTCTTTCTTCTCTACTCTTTCTTCCTCTTCTTAGTCTTAACTGGATTTGGTGATCAACAACTGTAGTATCTAAATGATGGTGGTACATTGGGTTAAAGCATTGATGCTCTTTGACTCTTAACTGAAGATACCATGTAGGGCTTCTAGGGTCAATGGAAAAATTTTCAAAGGGCAACACTATAGGTACAATGCAAAGTGCAAGCATTGGCGCTGTACAATGTTAAAGAGTTTTGAATAAACAATACTCTTTCTGTGCCAAATTAGGGCTATTAGTTGTTGCAATAGATGAATAAACAATACTCTTTCTGTATTTTGCACATTAATAAATTGGGAACTCCAGTGAGCCCATTCAGCAGGAATTTTGATGACATTGATGTTTGAATCATGTGTTAGATTTCAATTTGCTTTATCCTTATGGGATGATGGTTCTAAATAGCTTTTTCTTTCATCTTAAAAAAATAGTTTTATTTTCTAGACCATGATCTCATAACTTATCAGCCTCTCTGATTAACAAATTGAAAACAAAGCCAAATTAAGCCCAACTCAAATAGAAAATGGAGAATGGTAGGACAAAAAAACAGTAAAAGCATGAAACTCTAAAAGAGGAAGCAACCAACTTTCTTGCTTTGCATGCAAGACTTACTAAACTTGTAATCAAGGACAGATTATGACAACAATTGAATTAGAAAGAGTATTAGAATGGCAATGCATGTTAGACCTTATTAGAAAAAAAAAATGAATTGAAAAGTAAATCAGATTTATCACCATCGTAACATAAGTACCTGGAAGTTATCAAATGCCCGGTGAGGAATGTTATCATCAAAATGTTGCATTTCATCCCATGGTCCATCTCCAACTCCAACCAAAACAATTGAGAGAGGATATTGACTGTGTATCAAAATATAATTTAGGAAAAAGAGCATAGTTCTGATGCAAATTGACCACATGAGAATGTTTTACCTAGCAGCAACTATAGAATTGATAGTTGCTTGTTCTTGTGGACTAAACCTTCCAGGTGGTAAATCAACACTCCTGGTGACCTATGTGCACAATGTAAAAAAATAAATTATATTAGCAATCTGTGGAAAAAAATGAACAGCAGTGAATTGTAAAGAGTCATTGATCAAAACTGCAATAAATCTGTTTATTCAATCAAAGAAATTAAGAGAAACTGATCTAGAACAATAGTAAGGAAGAAGAAAGAAGAAGAAGAAGAAGAAGAAGAAGAAGAAGAAGAAGAAGAAGAGAAGGGTTTAGAGGAAAGAACCATAGCAGTTTCCCAGCTCCCTCAAGCTGAGAATAGATATCAACCATACCCAGCTTGCTTACATAATGTTGCAGCTTAGCCTTTGGAACTCCCCTAGTAAGAATATCTAACAATTGCTCCTCTGAAGCAACAAATGATAGACAGACTTCACCAGATGCAATTCTTTTTTGTAAAGTATCTATCTACCTCGATATGTTTGGTCCTATCATACTGAATAGGATTATGAGATATATTGATAGCTACTTCACAATACAACATAATTGGTTTGTTATAATTAATACCCAACTCTAGAAGAGATCTAAGCCACAATAATTTTGACACTCCATGAGCCCTTGCTTTATATTCCACTTCTACTGAATATTTTACCACTATATTTTGCTTCTTACTTCTCCA